AATGAGTTAGCAGGCAGAAAAGACACTTAGTGCTCTGGATTGAGACAAGTACACACTATAGAGGGATATACTTTGTTCATATTTCATGTCTGAGGTTTACAACCACTTTTAAGATCTAGGAATCTCCAAAATGTATACATCCCCATCATCCTCATAAGTGAGATGTCAGAGAGCCTACATTATACTCTATATGGGTATTGCTTAGGCTAGGCCTTTCCATTGTGGTCTTTGGGCTGGATGGTGCTCTGAGTAGTTTCTTCCCTGGTGATTGTTCCAATGTAAGCATTCTTTTAAAAATCCAATGTTTAGTCTGAGATGGGGAGAAGACAGTTTTGGTATAATTTGAGGACTATATCCACTTTTAGACAAGGCCTTTTCTGACACTTTTTGTTTACATGTAAAAATCTGTATTTTTGCTAGAAAACCCCCAAAACATTATTTATTTTAAAGCAGAGGCACTAGAGAATAAAATGGCGGGAGTTGCAATTTTTTTAAAGCAGAGGCACTAGAGAATAAAATGGCGGGAGTTGCAATTTTTTAAAGCAGAGGCACTAGAGAATAAAATGGCGGGAGTTGCAATTTTTTAAAGCAGAGGCACTAGAGAATAAAATGGCAGGAGTTGCAATTTTTTTTATGTCACACGGTATTTGCACATTTGCACAGCGATTTTTCAAACGCAATGTTTTGGGAGAAATACACTTTAATGAATTTTAATGCACAAAATAAAATATAATACCAATTGTTTGGTAAAATATAAAAGGCGATGTTACACCGAGTAAATAGATACCAAACATCTCATGCTTTAACCACTTGCCTACCGGGCGCTTTTACCGCCCTCCCATAACTGGACAATCGCGCTGTAGCCATCATTCGGCTATAGCGCAGTTGTAAAGTGGTTAAAATTGTGCACTCCCATGCAAACTATGCACATTTTATTATCCATAGGCGACGATTTAAAAGCCTTTACAGGTTACCACTTTAAATTTACAAAGGAGGTCTAGTGCTAGAATTCTTGTTCTTGATCGTATGTTCGCGGTGATACCTCACACGTGTGGTGCAATCACTGTTTACTTATGCATGCAGGACCGATGCGTGCATTTGCCTTTGCACACAAGCATTGGGAATGGGGGTGCTTAAAACATTTTTTTTTTTTATTGTCCCGTTAATTTTTTAAATTTTTATTGTTATTGAATGTAAATATTCCCTGTGATAGCAATAGGCAGTGGCAGGCACTCTTTACTGAGAAATCTGGGGTCTATTAGACCCCAGATCTCTTCTCTACCCTTAACAGCATCTGATCACACCAAAATCGAGCCATGGAAAGAGGTTACCACTTTCGATTTGCATAGGAGGTCTGGTGCTAGAATTATTGTTCTCAATCTGATGTTTGCGGTTGTGCGATCACTTTTTACATATGCGTTTGGTACTGACACCCATGAGCACTGGGAGACAGGGGCACTGTAAATTTTGGGTTTTTTTAAAAAAAAAATTTTGCACTGTCCCTTTAAATTTTTAAAATGTTATTATCACAGGGAATATAAATATCCCTTTTGCAATAAGCAGTGACAGGTACTATTTACTGAGAGATCTAGGGTCTATTAGACCCCAGATCTCTACTCTACACTTCCAAGATCAGTATGATGTAATGCTTTTTTCAAACCACTAAGGGTTTGTTTACAACTGGCCAAACAGGAAGTGATGAAATGCTTGTTGCTTCCAGTTTCTTAGACCATAGAGCTGATCGGGGGGGCCATTTCGGTCCCTGATCAGCTCTATGGACAGCTGGAGGAACTGCCAGTTGCAAACGTGGGTCTTCCAGGGGGATAAGAGAGCCTGAGAAGGCCAGAGAAGGCTGTGTGATGGGGGGGGAGAAGATCCCTCCCGCCGCTTGTAAAAGCAATCCAGCGGCTAATTAGCTGCTAGGATTGCTTTTACAAGAAAGCCAACCACCGGCTTAACCAATGAAAGCCCAGCGAAAAGTGGACATACATCTGTAAATTCCATTTTTTAGCACTCACCAGGCTTTTTGGGATCGGGTCATTACTGAATGAAATCTTGTACTGTCCTAAGTAATATCCATATAGAAGGTAGGCTCTCTGACATGTGTCAGAAGGATGATGGGGATGTGTACATTTGTACATTCTTTGATCATTAATGTCTATGTGCATTTGGTTATTTTATTAGAAGTGACACCTTGGGTCATGCTGGAAGAGTCACTCCTTGGAGTTTACCCGGTGGCTTTTCGGCACAGTAATGATGTTGGCCATATGTTTACCATGATTGCTTGGGTCTGTAAGTGCATTCTTGCTGAGCTATATATCATTTGTATGATTTATACCTTGGTTGTTTAGTCCACAGATTCTCATTCACTCGAGGAAGAAAATACAGCCTTTTCGAAACGCGTTGGCAGGGAAGAGAACTGTACACAACATGCTCTGATCATTATCATTGCCTGATATATAGTTTTTATTGTTATCCATGGTATTTTAACATGTTTCTAATAAATTATATTTTATAGGTGTACATGTGTGTAAGAGCAGAATGCCTGAAAACTCCCATCAAAACATAGGAAGGTATATTTAAACCAGGGTATCTCACCAGGGTTCCTCCAGAGGTTGCCAGGGGTTCCTGGAGAAAGGAGCAATTTCTGCCTCTCAGATAAGTTCCCACTGACACCACATATCTTTTTCACTATCCATGAGGGGGTACTTCTTCCCAATGACCACACGTGTAAGGAGCATTCTCCTACTAACCATCACACTAATGTATCATGAGTTGTAGGTATAGTAACTATTTGCAGGGGTTCTTCACCCTTGAAAAGTTATTTCAAGGGTTCCTCTGCCTTGAAAAGGTTGAGAAAAGGCTGATTTAAACATTAAGGCAAGCTATAGATTAATTGATTTTCTTTCCTTTAGCTATGAATGGAAGGAAGAATATCACTTCATTCCCCCATCAACACGGTCCGTACTGATGGCAGAATGCTTCCCACAGCACGATTGTGTTCTTCTAGCCGGCAGGTGGAGTGCAGGGGAGCTTTCCAGGCCAGCAGAACACAATGATTACTGCTAGCTGCTATAGCTGCCAGGCAATTATCGAATGCTGCAAATCTGACAGGCTGCTTGGGCCCAAGTTGATCTATGGATTGACATGGGTACAATCAGCCTGCACAAAGATGGACTGAATTTTGGCCAGTCCCTGCTTAACTGGCCAAGATTCCATCCATCTATGGCCAGCTTTAGGGATGTTGCCATTCATAATTGAGGTGTGACTACTTGATTATTGTTTCTGATAACAAAACTGATTATTCACGGTAACTGGAATGAATAAGAAGCCTTCTTGCTCTGATTTATGACATTTACAATGTTCATCACAGACCACAGTGACACCATATAAATTTCTACTGAAGCTGGAGATGTTTCCAAACTCAGTTGTGACATCATACACATATAAGATGTTTTCAGCTGCGGAGGACAAGTTCCTCTAATCTTGGAACAGAGAAGGGGTGAGGATTCACTTCTGCATATCACTGAATCCAATGTTGTACTGAAGCAGTACACTGTTGGCGGAAGGCTTCCTTTTCTGATACATTTTATAGAACTTAGCCAATAGATGTTCACTTCAAGGGTCAGTACACCAAAAAAAAAAAAAAAAATGTATTTCAGGTTTCAGTATATGCTATGACTGTTCTGTTTTAAAAGCAGTTTTATGCATTGGCATACCTCCTCAGAACCAGTCTCTCTGGACAGTATGGTCAGATGATGACTTGGCACCATCCACAGGCAGCTTAGCTCTTCAATAGGACACAGAACTTAAAGTGTTACTAAACCCTGGACCCTGCATTCACTATATCTGGTCTCCCCGGACCCTGCATTCACTATATCTGGTCTCCCCGGACCCTGCATTCACTATATCTGGTCTTCCCAAACCCTGCATTCACTATATCTGGTCTCCCCGGACCCTGCATTCACTATATCTGGTCTCCCCGGACCCTGCATTCACTATATCTGGTCTCCCCGGACCCTGCATTCACTATATCTGGTCTCCCCGGACCCTGCATTCACTATATCTGGTCTTCCCAAACCCTGCATTCACTATATCTGGTCTCCCCGGACCCTGCATTCACTATATCTGGTCTCCCCAGACCCTGCATTCACTATATCCGGTCTCCGCGGACCCTGCATTCACTATATCCGGTCTCCCCGGACCCTGCATTCACTATATCCTGTCTCCCCAGACCCTGCATTCACTATGTCTGGTCTCCCCAGACCCTGCATTCACTATATCTGGTCTCCCCAGACCCTGCATTCACTATATCCGGTCTCCACGGACCCTGCATTCACTATATCCGGTCTCCCCGGACGCTGCATTCACTATATCCGGTCTCCCCGGACCCTGCATTCACTATATCCGGTCTCCCCGGACCCTGCAATCACTATATCCGGTCTCTCCGGACCCTGCATTCACTATATCTGGTCTTCCAAAACCCTGCATTCACTATATCTGGTCTCCCCAGACCCTGCATTCACTATATCCGGTCTCCACGGACCCTGCATTCACTATATCCGGTCTCCCCCGGACCCTGCATTCACTATATCTGGTCTCCCTGGACCCTGCATTCACTATATCTGGTCTCCCCGGACCCTGCATTCACTATATCCGGTCTCCACGGACCCTGCATTCACTATATCCGGTCTCCCCGGACCCTGCATTCACTATATCCTGTCTCCCCGGACCCTGCATTCACTATATCTGGTCTTCCCAAACCCTGCATTCACTATATCTGGTCTCCCCAGACCCTGCATTCACTATATCCGGTCTCCACGGACCCTGCATTCACTATATCTGGTCTCCCTGGACTCTGCATTCACTATATCGGTCTCCCCGGACCCTGCATTCACTATATCTGGTCTCCCCGGACCCTGCATTCACTATATCTGGTCTTCCCAAACCCTGCATTCACTATATCTGGTCTCCCCAGACCCTGCATTCACTATATCTGGTCTCCCCGGACCCTGCATTCACTATATCCGGTCTCCACGGACCCTGCATTCACTATATCTGGTCTCCCCGGACCCTGCAATCGCTATATCTGGTCTCCCCGGACCCTGCATTCACTATATCTGGTCTCCCCGCACCCTGCATTCACTATATCTGGTCTCCCCGGACCCTGCATTCACTATATCCGGTCTCCCCGGACCCTGCATTCACTATATCCGGTCTCCCCGCACCCTGCATTCACTATATCTGGTCTCCCGCAGTACACACAACATGGAAATGTACTGTAATTATTTTAGTAAGTATAAACTGCTAAATACCTTTTCTTATCAGCAGTGTATAGCAGTCTTGTGACTTTTATCAGTGTCCAGCACAGCACTGGCTAAAGCTGGTAGGAGGAGTTTTCATTCTCCCCTGATTGTTTTATGAGGCTGTATCTGGTCTCCCCGGACCTTGCATTCACTATATCTGGTCTCCCCGGACCCTGCATCCCCTAAATCTGGTCTCCCTGGACCCTGCATTCGCTGTATCTGGTCTCCCACAGTACACAGAACATGGAAATGCAATTATTTTAGTAAATATAAACTGCTAAATACCTTTTGTAATCAGCAGTCTTGTGACTTCTATCAGTGTCCAGCAGAGCACTGGTTAAAGCTTGTAGGAGGAGTTCTCATTCTCCCCTGAATGTCCCATGAGGCAGCAGGACCCCTGACCCTCTGTCTGGACAGTGCTGATTGGCCCTGTGCTGATCACATGCACTCTCCCAAGATAAAAAACTCTCTAGCAATACACCCCAAACTGAGCATGTGCAGCTTGCCTTCAAGGCTCTGTTCTATCAGCAAATGGATTGGGGATAGTAGAAGAAGAGGAACATCAGAGAAGACAGGATCCAACAGCCTTTTTACACAATGCAGAGGATTAACCCCTTAGGTTCCACATTGAGTATAACAAGCATGCTTTACTGCATATACAGACTGATTGTACTGTTGTGGGTTTAGTAACACTTTAAATTAATTTTGCAATTTTACTTCTGATAAATGCAGCAGAGAGGACGTATGTCCAGTCCTCTGATATGCAAGCAAGGAGACAATGACTTCCCTAAGCAATGTCTCTGTGAAGTACTAACACTGACTAGGGCAGGGGTGTCAAACTCCATTTCATCGCGGGCTGTATCAGCATTATGGTTGCCCTTGAAGGGCCGGTTGTATCTGTAAGACTAGAGTTACCACTCCCCATTACATCGGATGTCAAAAATCTGCACCTCCCTAACATCACTGTGCACCCTCTTTGGGGGCAGAGCTGGGAAGCAGAAAGTGCAGGGTCTGGAGGAGGACCAGAGGAGGAGTGAAGATAGTTGAATGCTGAGACCAGGGGGGGCGGAGATTAAGGGGTGCTGCAGCTGCACTGAGAGGTGCAGGATCCAACAGAGGAGTTCTGTCCTCCTCTCTGCTGCCGACTGCTGAGGCAAGGTGGAGGCAGAGACGAGAAGGGTACCGTAGCTGCATGAGAGGAGCAAGGGCCACATGAAATGGCCTGGAGGGCTGGAATTTGGCCCCAGGCCTTGTGTTTGCCACCTGTGGACTATGGGAAGATAAATGAAACAGGGAGGGTCTAGCTAGAACTGAACTAATTAGTACTAACACTAAACAGGAGAGAGAGTGGGGGAGAGGGTCAGATGAAGATACCAAATCCAACAAGTAAACAAGCTGTAGTGGCTCTATACAACCACTAAATGCCAGCATATTATAGAACATTAATGATCTAGTTCAAAGAACTTACTAAAAGGTCGGCCAGACCAATGATGTAAACCACATGACAATTATACTTTCTATATATATACAGTGGGTATCGAAAGTTTGGGCACCCAGGTAAAAATTTGTATTAATGTGCATAAAGAAGCCAAGGAAAGATGGAAAAATCTCCAAAAGGCATCAAATTACAGATTAGACATTCTTATGAAAATAAAATCTAACTTTTTTTTGACATATAAGAATGTCTAATCTGTAATTTGATGCCTTTTGGAGATTTTTCCATCTTTCCTTGGCTTCTTTATGCACATTAATACAAATTTTTAGCTGGGGTGCCCAAACTTTCGATCCCCACTGTAGTAGTGTTGAGTCTCGAAGCCCTGTACAAGATCAAGCTTTGTACTGCATATTTGACTTCTGGTCAAATAAACACACTTAAAGTACAGTATATGTGAACCCTCACCTTGTAAACAAACCATTACCTCTGTTCTCAGCTGCATAGAGAGCTGGGGGAGGAGAAACAGCAGAACACTGATCTTCCCAGTGAATTACTGTGCAGGGGGCATGTCAGCAGACGCCTGATCATTGTAGGAGAGCAGGATGAGTTCCCGACACAGCTAAAAAAAAAAAAAAAAAGCCTACCACGCTGTGCTCTCATGCCTAGTGTGGTCAGTTTATAATTAGAAAGCAGAGGAACTGGCAGGAATGCCAGGGTTTTCACACAAGGGAAGCAATACAAAGAGAACAGGAGACGTTTTCATACAAGTATATGGTACAGCAGGCACATATCAGGAATAGGAAATGTTGGGTCTACATATTCTATAAAGTGATTATAAGGTCTTATTTTATACAGTAAACTATTAAACATGTTATACTCCCTTGTGCTGTACAATGAGACTACACAGAGCGGTCCCAAACCTCCCCCACTAGCGCTGTTCACTCCTCCTCTTCTGTGTCTGCCCCCCAAAGCAAGCATTTGCTATAGGGACAGACTTGCGGGTGCACTCCTAACCTGGGCTGTGTGCGTCCATAGACACACACAGCATGGCTCAACCCTACCCTCTCACTCTCTGCTCACAGGATTTCATTGACTGGCCATACACGAGTAGATTTTCTAATAACCGTACAAATATTTGTAAGACAATTGTTATCTGTGTGTATAGTCTGTGCACAGTATCACTTCTCATCCCGCATGCTGGGTGGAATTCTCTATATGTTCCTATTCTGTAAGTAGTACCTCTGCACAGTAGCATTTTTCTTGTTCTGTAGGTTTTCTTATCATTGTATAAACTTTCCTCCCAGGTTGACATTTCTGCAACTAATAGCTAGAAGGTGCGCAGAGTCCAGACCTCCAAGCCAATAGGAAGAATCCCAACACCCATTTGACCCACATCTAGTCTAAATGGGCCCCTACATCTCACAGGGCCCTACTGAAGCTACACGGTCTGCACAAATGGAATGTTCGCCCTCTAGTGAGATCTCTGCACAACTGCAGCAGTCATTAGCAGGGATTACCTCAACTGTTGGCCTTCTTATTTTTTTTATAAATCCTGCCATTGTCACAGACAAATGTAATCGAATTAATAACCGAGGACAAATGTACACCTATACAATATAATGCACGCATTCGTATGCATGTTAACACGTGCACAGGTTGGCCAGTGCTTTTTGATATGCTCATTCAAACCTGAGTTTTTGATTGTGTTGGCTGAAAAATGTCCATTCATACATATTACAAAAATTGTAATACATATAACCCCCCCCCCCCCCCCCACCACCACCCGTCATCCCTAATAAAACTGACCCCAAACTATTAGTTACCCTGGTATCTACAGCTTCTAGAACAAGCATGATACTCTCTTGATTGGGCATAGGCGCAATGGAGAGAGAGAAATAATGTTCCCCTGTGCATAGAATTAGGAAGATACAGTTCGGTTTTGGTCGCCAGTTCACAAAAAGGATGTTGAAGAAGTGTAAGGAGCTCAAAGAAGGGCAACTGCATTAATATGTGTAGCACCCAATAGGTAGGGCTAGTGTAAGGTCAATTTATTTTTGGCTCATGGCAGTGAAGGAGTCTGAATTACTGTGGGTTCAGTGTGAGGTTAGGCTGGATGACTCAGCAGGTTGGGACTCTCGCCTCCACCTGGTTCTGGAGGTCCATGAAGAGGGAGATCGCCTCCACCTGGTTCTGGAGGTCCATGAAGCTTCCAGAAGCCAGTAGGCGGAAGGGTGGAGACCTAAATCTGCATATTCATGGGAGTCTGACCAATCCTAGGCTAAGAAGCCCTGGTAGTGTGGCAGACCAGCCCATAAATATGAGAGAGCCATGCTAGCAGGGGAGTTGGGAGTAAGATGGACTGAGAGGAAGGCTGGAGTGTGAGTCCTGATAGGGGGCCCCAGGGAGTGGAGCCTACCTACAGGCTGGTTGCTGGACGGGAGGATCTCTACTGCCTCAATGTCTCCTGGGGAGGACAACCTGTTAGCAGGGAAGAAGCAAGCCCAGCGTAAGGTCTGAAGGCAACCACCAACCCACCATGCTAGCAGGCAAGGACAGTGTGAGTACAACTAGGGTTGCCACCTCATTCCTGTAAAACCGAACACATATTAATTACACAGGTTTTGAGGCTAAACTGTGTATTTAATATGTGTTTGGTTTTAAAGGCATGAAGTGACAACCCTACCTACACTCCCCTGGGCCGGATAAGGGGAGAGAGCGGTCAGGTATAATACCCAGCTAGTCTTTATCTTGGACTGCTTAACTGCAAGCTCTTGGAACCCTCTTGCTCAGGAATACCTTCAGTACAGCTGGGTGAGGAGTAGAATTCATCTGGGGTCTGAGGACACCACCAAGAATATGGGACAATGGTATATTTTTTCTTTGTTCCTGCTAGTCCATAATTTTTGTACATATTTGCCAAGACGTTCGTCCTCAGGTTCTACAGTTCCTTGGGCATCCCATATACCCCTAGACCCCATCCAAGCTGTTAACCCCTTAATAAAAAACAACTAAAAACCAGCTCAAGGACTGTTTACTGACTATAAGGCTACGTTCACACTAGCCTTGTGTGCAGGCGGCAGAGAGGCGTTTGGGAAGCATTTTTACCGCTTCCCAAACGCCTCTGCCAAATTCTGCACATTACAGCACATGGTGCCGTTCTAACGGGAGCGAGCGTTGCGTCGCGGCAAAATGGACGCCTCTGGACGAGTCAGGAGGCTTTGAAGCCTCCTATTCTCGTCTATGGTGCCGCTCCGCAAACGCCCGGCCGGCGTTTTGCGGTTGCGGTTGCGACGCGGTAACACCACTCAAACTGCATTATAGGCGTTTGTGGGGCGTTATTAACGCTCGGCAAAACGCCTAGCAACCGCCGCTAAACCGCGCATGCGGCGTTTGCGGAGCGTTTGCCGAGCATTAAAAAACGCTCCGCAAACGCCGGACCAACGCTTGCCAAACGCTATAGGGGCGTTTGGCAAGCGTTGGCAAAACAGCCTAGTGTGAACGAGCCCTAAGTGTACCAGTGTGGAAAATGTGTGTTGCCTGGCTGTGCAGACCATAAGGGGACCCAAAACAAATCCAGCAGCCTTTACATGGGTAGGGCTAAACATGGTTTGTGTAAAGGCAGTCCAATAATTTTGAATGAGCTGAGAATGACCCATTGGAACATGACCCATTTTTTTTTAAAACAGCTCTCACCAATGTGAAACATGTACGGTTGTGGCCTGCTACAGTGCGGGTGCATTGTCCATTACTGTCTGGTGCATAGGAGTGCCATTCAAAAAAAAAAGACACTCCAA